TTCAAGCCGAACTTCCTAATGGCAGAGCACACCCCCTCCCCCCCTCCCCACACACCCCGCCCATGACTCCTGCAGGCTCTCGGGTGAAACTGAAAGTGAAATTTAACTGTCTGCTGAGCTCTCAACATTACTTTTCACTCAGTGAAGCTCTTTTCAYATTAAAAATACCTTTGAGGAAATACTGTAGATGCCAAGTAAACTGCATCATAGCCCCCCACTGAATGGGACGAGACAGGAGCAGAAGGAGGCTCTTAAAGAGACAGAGGCCAAAATTCAAGGCGTCTAGAACGGGAAGTGATGAGAAGATAAGTTTACTTTCTATTTAAACATAAAAACATCATTTTAATAACAACTAAAGGTGACATAGATACTTTATTATGGTATAGTATTTAAATGTATGCCTGAGAAACATAATATTGGCCCTTTAAGGGATTACTTATCAAAAAGAAAAGAAAGCTTCATACACTTTTTATATAAGCTAAGATATAAGCTAAGGGTTCTGCCATTTGCCCACTCATTATTCCCAGAAGCGGTAACCATGGTGATGTTGTTGGGTCATTATTAAGCTCGTTAAGTGTCTATGTCAGTGTGGCACACAACCCCACCCATCACCCACACACATGCTCATTATTATAATACTTTACATCGCTAAATATAAACAGKCCAACGCACAAACCAAGAAACTGAAAGACAAAAAGTACAGGCAAGTGGAACTGTAACACACATCCCACACAGTGTTGTGAACRCAGATGACAGAGAGGACACGCTGTGCAAAACACAATGTGGYYAAAAAAAGACAAACATTAACTGTGCCCACTATCAGACCCTCCCTCCTTCTAGATCTGCTGCCTCTCACTYAYGGCTGCTCAGTACAACATGCCTTATTACAGCAGCTTTTACACTCAGAAGCCACAGAAATGGGCTTTGTTTGTATGCTGGGCTTCTACAATGGTCCTGTCATGCAAATATGCCCACACAAACATGCCCTCCAGCTTCCAGCAGTATCCCTATGTTACACATCTATCTTCATCTCATTCACTCTGCCTCCCTTCACACAAATCTTCTGACATCATGTGAGCTGGTACAAGCGCTCACTCTGCTGGAGCTGTAAAATTCACAGATGGAATCAGTTTTCCAGTCAATCATAAAGCAGTTTATGATCCGTAAGACCAAACTGACAAAGGTTAGTTCACTTCGGGACTTTTTAAGACTGGGCGTTGTCTCGGTTTACAAATGTAGTTACTATATAGTTTGTAACTTGTTCTGTTAAACCGTCAGTGTTGATGTTTAACTCTACTCAATGTAAAGTTAAAAAAGGTAAAAAGGTTATCTTGAACATTATCATATAGTGCAATTTTAAAGCGTTTAGTCCTCTAGTTTTCTCAGACGTACTGATATGCAATTCTGATGTGTGAGTGTGCATTCAAAACTAGAAGCACTCGGAGTGCAAACCTCTGGCAAGACCAATTTCCCCCATCCTGTTATAGAGTAAATACACAAAAGCAGAGATGGAAACACATTTGCCGAAAAAGTTCTGACGTCGCGAACATTTAAGCAGGCAGTGTGCATGGGATTTCTTCCCAGTGGAGTCCAATGTAAAAAAAAAAAAAAGTCAGACTAGTCACCCGACGTTATTCATCATCAAACTGGTCTCGGATTAAGCTCCTAAGGCAGGGCTTTTCAACTAAACTGCTCCGGAGGCCACAGTRACTGTAGGTCAGCTGCTCAGGGGCTGAACATCCAGCAATTAAATTTACTATGTAAATTTATTATGTAAATAAACCAAGTATTACAAAGATCTGTTACCTTAGTAGTTTATTTTTGCTGCATTTAATCATGAATACAACATGCAGAACCCTATAAAAGTAGTGATAAATAAACAATATCAAAAACAAAAATAACACATTATATCCCCATTTGACACAAATATTATTTTGACACCTCTGACTTGACAATTTTTTAAACCAATTTTATTTTAACTTTGATAGTTTTATCTTCAACTTCTTGTCATTTTAACTGTCTTTAGTGTGCATATAAATGGTTTTTACCAACGTGTAGCCAAGATTCTGACGGTTCTGCAGATACCAAACATGGGTATGTCTAAGTAAAAGAACTTAAAGTAATTAAAGTAGAAAACTGGGGGSTTGAGCTTAAGAGATTAATGAACCAATTGGCGGGCCCATAATTTTCAATGACAAACGGGTTCAAGATCAAGAATTCAACATAGTGAAAAAACAAAATACAAGTTACAGTTATTATTTGTCCCTTTTAAATGACAAGTATT